AAATGTACATTACCACCACTGCTACCTGCTTCCACCACACATGCACGCGTGTGTGTGCGCATGTGCGTGCGCACGCGCACGCGCACACACACACACACACACACACGGAAAAACAAAAAACCAAGGAAAGATTTTTACCTACTCCTTCCTTACCAATAGACTTGGGAATCTTACTTTGAAGAATAAAAGATGAAAAGAAACCAGGTTTGTTAGCTAGATTTAGGTTTGTTATTTCATTTTAAAAGATTACTAGACAGGATTGAGTTCATTTAATCCGCCTTTCATGGGAATTTCTACAGTATAACAATAGTGAAGCAAATTTTATTTACATTTGGATTTGGTTAACCTTTTGGTTGATATTTGTCTTCGTAAGTTGGTATATTTCTATGTTTCACATATCATTTTGCTTTTTTAAAAATGTGCATAAAATGTTTGGTTATGGATTATGTAACTATTTCTAAACCATCGTAATTTTCTATTATAAACTATAGGGTTCCCCCCCCCCTATTTTTGTGCCAGAGATTAGGTGCTGTCCCTTAGCTTGTTTGTTCAGTACTGGTACTCTACCACTTTAGCCACAGCTCCACATCTGGCTTTTTGGTGTTTATTGGAGAGAAGAGTCTCATGAACTTTTCCTGCTCTGGCTAACTTCAATCCACCATCCTTGGATCTTACCCTTCTGAGTAGCTAGCATTACAGGCATGAGCCATCAGTGCTCAGCTTTGTTGTTGTTTCACTTTTTTCATGGCAAGTGCAACTAGTTGAAAAAAATCCTTACCATGACTTAACTTTCCTTGTCTTTTGGAAGCTATTGCCATCTTATTTTTTATAAATATGTCTCTAATAAGTTAACCATCTGTCTCTGACCCTTCCTGTCTTTCAGTTTTTGTCTCTCTACTCCTAGTACTAATGATCAGTAAATAAATAGTACCTAGCTTTTCAATTTCAGCCTCTGCTCTGCCTCATACATACATACATGCTTTCTGATCCTGAGAAGTGCTATTGCTTTGCTGTTTCTATCTTCTAAAATGCCACTGGTTTTACATTCTTTGGCTACAGATTGTGTCCATACTCACAGCCTCTATTTCCTTATTGTTTATTGTTTTAGAATAATTGGGAGTAGTAGTAATCATTGGGAATAAAATCAAAGGGAGCCATTTTGAAGTAGCTGTGATAACCCCATTAGGAGTGCTTATAGTCTGCTTTCATAAAAGATGCAGATTTGTGGAGAGAACAGGACTATAGGAAGAGTGCACAGGCAATAACTATGGCATGTGAACTGCCATTTTCTGAAATAGTAAAGACCAAACAGGTAGATACTGTGTGTTCTTAAAGAATGCTTATAATTTGGAAAAGAACAAGGAAATACAGGAGTTGTAAAACCAGTAATGATTATACATTTTATAATTCTTAATGTTTTAAGGGTGTTTGACTTAAAAGAGTTAACAAAGACCCTCAGGTCTTTGGAAGTGTCAAGGCCTTCAGGATCCTGGAGCATCCCCCTTTTCCTTTCTTTCCCTTTATTAGCAACCCCACTTTCCCTATCCAATTCAAGAATAACAGTCTATTGAAACTTTGAAATTACTGCAAGAGGCAGTAGGTGAAACACTAGAACTAACTCATAGGAATAGGCAGAAACTATTTGAAGAGTCTCAGGTGCACAGCAGATAGAAGAAAGACTTGACAAATGGAATTACATCAATATTTTTGCACAGCAAGTAACTACAAACACTACAATAATAAACCTCTTGTTTCCCTTTTTTCAAGCTTATTTCAATAAGCATCATTTTATATGGTCATATACACATAGCTATTGAGCCACTGTGATCCTCTCCTAAGAATAGTCTCCTTTGTTCTCACTGTGCAGATGCTTAGACTGCTGTTTAATTAATCGTGTCCAAGTGTAATTATTTATCTTTTATTATCCATTGGATTAACTTGGAGATATATAGATATATTCTAGTTATTGTAAATAAGGAAACCAAGATATAAAGGACCTCTATGATGAAAACTTTAAAAACTTGAAAAAGGAAATTCAAGCAGATTTAAGGAAGTAAAAATCTCCCATGGTCTTGGATTAGGAGGATTAACATTATAAAATTGCAATACCGTCCAAAGTTATCTACAAAGTCAATGCAACACCCATCAAAATTCCAACAACACTCCTCAGTGATATAGAAGCAATCCAAAAATTCATATGGAAAAAGAGAAGACTCCAATAGCAAAAACTATCACCTTTCTAATAACAATTTTTAAAAAAAGAATGACAGTCTCCTCCTATACCTAAGGAAAATGTCCTGTACCTACATGTGCCTGTACATATACATACCTTTACCCAGACTAAGACAGAAAACCAGCATGGCCACGCCTCAGCATGCAATTACAGGATAAGTGAGTTGGGAAGAGAGTAAATGAATTAGGGGAAATGGGCCATAGGATATTAACTACAGGTTCCTGATACTCAGGTTCGTTTATAAACAGAAGCTTTGTCAAAATGTGTTACAGTAATATCTTTGATCATCTTTCCACTCTTTAGATTTTCTTTCAGATTGGGAATATAGTTATAGAGAACTTTTCATTGAAAGGGCTTCTATCCTAAATAGGTTGAATGCCTTTCTTGTCAGCTTGTTTCAGTGTCTAAATTTATTTTGATCAGACAAGGGTAATTACATTTTTCTCTACATGTCCTGAGACCTAAACCACTGTTTCAGGTTCAGTGTTAGATGGATGTGTATGTGGGTGTGTGAGTAGATGAATGGATTTCTATTTTAGGAGATTTTAACTATAATTGGAATGGTAAGTCTAAACTAATTCTAAATTATTGAAAGATATTCACATTCTATATTAGTTCTTTTTATATTCCTAGAACCATAAAGTCATCAGCCATGGCCATTTACCAGAAATTCTGTCTTTTTCCTGGATAAAAGATTGCAGATGAAACTTTTTCTGACTTGAAAGTAAAATATCATAGAATTTTTTTATTGCTCAGTGAGAAAACTGTCAATCTGATTGTGGGAAGCAAAAATGGTATCTTTTTTTCTCTCTGTCTCTCTGTCTCTCTCTTGTTCTCTCCATCTCTCTCCTCTCCCTCCCCTCCTTCCCTCCCTCCTTCCCTCCCTCCCTCCCTTCTTTCTCTCTCTCTCTCTCTCTCTCTCTCTCTCTCTCTCTCTTTCTCTCTGTCTGTCAAGTTGAACTCAGGGCCTGGGCACTGTCCTTGAGCTTTTTTGTTCAAGGCTAGCAGTCTACCACTTGAGCCACAGCTCCATATCAAGCTTTTTTTGGTGGTTAATTGGAGATAAAGAGTCTCATGGATTTTCCTGCCCCATCTGGCTTTGAGTTGTGTGATACTCAGATGTCGGCCTCCAGAATAGCTAGGATTATACATCTGAGCCAGCTATCTTTCTGGGAACAACTATTGCTTGAGGCGCTGGACTGATTTTTCCCATTCAATGAAAAAAGAGAATGAATAGTCTTTTTTTTTTTTCCATTTCATTTTTCTCATCCATTTTCTATAAGCCATGATGTCAGTTTCTTTCTTTCTTTATCAGAATCTAGTATCATTTAGAATCTAATTAAACAGTTTTGATATTTAAATAGTAAGCTAAGTAAGGGCTTTACACCGCCCAACATTTTACAAACTAAAGCACTGAGACACTCATTTCCCTTCCTAGGGACTTAGAGGGGAGTGTGGTTGGAAATAGCTGAGTACATAGATTTGAAGTTGTTTTCAAGTAATGAAAATGTTTTAGAATTAGATAGACGAGACAGTTATATAACATTGCAAATGTATACAATGCAACTGAATTGTACACTTTTTTTTTTTTTTTTTTTGGTCCGGTCGTGGGGCCTGAACTCTGAGCCTGGGCTCTGTCCCTCAGCTCTTCAGCTCAAGGCTAGCGCTCTACCACTTGAGCCACAGTGCCACTTCTGGCTTTTTTTATTTTTGCTTATGTGGTGCTGGGGAATTGAACCCAGGGCCTCATGCATGCAAGGCAAGCACTCTACCACTGAGTCACCTTCCCAGCCCCACTTTTTTAAATGGTTGATTTTTATGTACTATGTGAATTTTATCTTCATTAAAGTCACTATTTCCTAACTTTTCTTAGTTCACACTATGTCTATAAATTGTCAGACTTATAGCTGAGAGGATAATATCTTCCTGTAGCTAGTATGATCATATAATTTATTCCTTCAAACTTACAATTACAAGAGTGAAAACAGGCACTCACCAGTTCTGGACTTGAGTGCTGGACTAGCAGTCAAAAACCAGTCACACTTTCTAAAACTAATGCCAGAGTCATACATACATACCCACTCAATGTCTTAAAATATTTCAAGAACTTGATTCTTTAGACAAAGCTAGGTTGTATACAGTTGGCAGAGATAACCTTCCTACAAATGGGTAAAGAAGCCTATTCCAAACATTGTAAAAACAGTCTTTTTTTGCCAGCCACTGGTGGCTCATGCCTGTCTTGGCTGCTCCAGGAGGCTGAGATCTGAGGAATGCAATTTAAAACCAGTCCGTGCAGAACAGTCCATGAGACTCTTATCTCCAAATAACCACCAAAAAAGGCCAAAAATGGAGCTATGACTCAAGTGGTAGAATGCTAGCCTTGAGTGAAAAAGCTCAGGGAAAGCATCCAGGTCCCAAGTTCAAGGCCCAGGACTAACACAAAAAAGTAGTCTTTTTTTATGACTAATTAATTAATTTGTTTGTTTGTTTTTACTAAAACAATTTTTTAATCTTGATTTCAGTTGTATCTAGGTAGGTCTTAAACTGTTGGGTGAATTGTCTGTACGTTCAGTTCCATCTGCCTACGTATGCAGGTGCAGCAACACACTCACATGCCCTGCTGTGATTCCTGATCAAGTGCTGCCATAGTAGGCCAGTGAGAAGTGGAAACATGTTACTAATAGGCTCACTCTGAAGCTTTTTTAAGTCTTTTCACATATAAAGTAGAGATGAGTGGGCTCTAATTTTTTTGTCTTTCATTCTGTAGAACTGTCAAGTAATCCACCTCTGGCTACTGTCCTTATTCCTCCTCATGCTCGGATTCAAGCAGCTGCTTCAACCCCTACCAATGCCACAGCAGCCTCAGGTGAGGAAACATGAGTCCTTTCTATTTAAAAAATTTGTATCTCTTAAAACAAACTATGATTGCCTCCACCTCAGTAATGAGTATGAACTTTTTTTAAACTGAGACAAGTTGCATACGGGGAATAATTTAATATGTCTCTCCATTGATACGTACAGTGCACCTTGATGAGAGCCATTCCTTCTCCCACCAGCCACATTGTTTCTCGCTTCGCTTTTCACATAGCCACATGGATTATTATGTCTTATTTGTCTACTATTTATTCTGTTCCCTTTTCCATTCATCCGCCTCCTTTACATCTCCCTCATTCAAGACATGTTTCAACTTCCCGATATTCATTTTGACTGTGTTAATTGTGCAAAGGATTTGCACTGTAGTGTTTCATTCCTGCATATATTCCTCTCTAGTCCACCTGATCATGTGTATGTGCATATGCCCCTTTATGTGTTTACATGAAAGATTATGTTTTGGGCCTAAGTTCACATATGGGAGAAAATAAGTGCTCTTTGTCTTACTAAGCCTGGCTTACTTCACTCAATATGATTTTTTTGCAGATACATGTATGTCCCCACAGAAGACATAATCTCATTATATATTTTAAAGTACCAAAAGTCTAGCCAAATGAGTAAAATAGAATAAATTTATTTACAAAACAAAAACATTCATAATGTTTGTGATTTATATAATGATGTATATATGTTTGATATAAAAATTTTTTTTGCACAGGGTCTCAGTGTTTTGCCCAACACCAGCCCCAGACCTCAATCTACCTACCTATGCCTCTCATGTAGCTGGGCATGAACCACAGCATCCAGACCCTGCTCAGTTTTAATCTTTTAAAATGTTGGCTATAAAGTCTAAAAATTGTTTCACTGAGCTGGGCACTGGTGGCTCATGCCTATAATCCTAGCTACTCAGGAGGCTAAGATCTAAGGATTGCGGTTCAAAGCCAGCCCAGGCAAGAAAAGTCTGTGAGACTTGTGAGATCTTATCTCCAATTAACTACCAGGAAACCAGAAGTGGTGCTGTGCTCTAGTAGTAGCCTTGAGCTAAAGAGCTCAGAGACAGCACTTGGACCCAGAGTTCAAGCCCCACAACTGACCAAAACAAAAAAAAAAGTTTCACTGTAGAATGTATCCTACCTTCCAGGAAGAAATCTCCTTTTTGCCTAATTCCAGTTACATTAGCACATGCTCTCTCTGGAGAAAGTCACAAGACCCTTCAGTTCTATTAGTGTCTTATTTAACTAATCTATAAAATGGAATAGCAGTACTGTCCCAAAGTAATGCAAAAATCATATATGTGCAAAAATAAATAAACAAAATAAAAATGCAGTTACAAAACCAAACACTATGACCATGTCTATTTAGGACAAAATCCACTATGGCCTGTTAATTTAGATGAGCCATTTATTATTGTATTGATTGCTCACGATAAGAAATAAATCATAACCCTAAACACCTGGTTAGTTATTGAACTCATTTCCAGAATTAGAATTGATTGTTTATAAAAATGATTACTTATAAAAATAATTGTTAGGTTTTGAATAAGAATAATAACCTTCCTTTTCTTATTTTTTTAGTACTGGAGTTTGAACTCAGGGCCTTGTACTTACTAGGCAAGCTTTGTATTGTTTGAGTCATACCTCTGACCCTAGAAATAATTTTCTTAATTTGAAATACTAAACTAGTTCATTATGATTGCAACTCAGGTTCTAGAGCACATTGTATGCTTAGAAAGGAGTCTTGGGGGGCTGGGAAGGTAGCTCAGTGGTAGAGTGCTTGCCTCCAGGCATGAGGCCCTGGGTTCGCTCAGCACCACATAAACAGAAAAAGCCGGAAGTGGCACTATGGCTCAAGTAGTAGAGCGCTAGCTTTGAGCTGAAGAGCTGAGGGACAGTGCTCAGGCCCAGAGTTCAAGCCCCATGACCAACCAAAAAAAAAAAGGAGTCTTTGGTACCAGGGAGGATTTCATGTTACTCTGAGCTTTTCTAGTGGCTAAAGTAAATTAAGGAAGTGCTATTATTCATTAGATGAAAAATATATTCGTGATTTAGAAGAAGCAGTGTTGGTGCTTGAGATTTTTCCCCTCCAGATGTTATATATATAACAAAAGAAATATAAAAGTGACGTTCTCATTAGTATTCCAACAAAAATACAATAATGCATTTTGGAGATAGATGCTTTTTTTTAAGTGTTCCTCAGTGTTCTAGTCTATGTCTACATAAAGAGATTAACTATATGGCACTAACAGCTCCCTGTATTTATTTTTTTACATAAGACCTTAAAATATTCATGCCCACAGCTTTTCTTACCTTCAGTTTCCCTATCCATAAAGTAGACATACTAAATAAATAACTTACAGAATTGTGAGAAAGAGATTGAAATCTTAAAAGTTCTTAGGCCTTGCCTGCTAATTCAGTAGGTCCTTAGTAAAAGAGAACTGCTTCTTATTTTTATTGTTACTGTAAAGAAAGGACAGATCCAGACTTGTTTAGGAGGGGGAAAAGCATGTTATTTAAGATTGACATATATCCTGACAATGAAAGAATCTGTGACTCAGGGTAGATTGAACCTGTCTCTCAAGCATAAACAAAGCTTTCTTCACAAAAACATTTCAGGGTACAAAGAAATAAACTTGCAGTCTACAAAGTTCTACATCTAGAGTATCTGAAACTGGAAATGCTTCAAATTTAAAGTTTTCAAAGTCAGAATCTCTTAAATCATTCACACTAAGTATACGATAGCAGTACTGAGCCCAGCATGGCCTGGGCTTAGTTAAGAATATGGACCCCTAAGTTACTGAGTCAGTAGGCTTAGTTGACTTAAGCCAATCTGTTAGAGAACATACATCAAAATGAATACTTTTAGAGGCAAATTCACTTGCAGTTAACAAAACATTATCAATAACATGATAGTGCCTATTCCAATAGCCTTCTATTGTGCCTTCTAATAATCATCTAAAAATAGTTTTCGATCACCAAAATAGGAATTCAGAAGCAAAGCAAAAACTTGAGATTACCATCTGATCATTTAAAATATTATTTCTACTGATGCTCAGCACAACTGCAGTTTAGATTCTCTTTGTCCAGACCAAGGTCTGGACAAATGACTCTCTCAGAATCTTCCAAGTTTATGTCTGGCTTAAGTAAGAATGAAATTCTCTTAGATCATGTGGACCTAGGATCAAAGCTTAGTCCTAAAGCAGGTACAATGGAATTGACTTTGGGTTTGTTGGTTGGTTTTTGATTACTAGTAGTAGCCAAAGCTATTAAATGATTTCCAAATGTTAGGTCCTATTGAATTTAAAAATAGAGGCAGACATTTTGGTTAATTCTATATTGCTCTTTCTGGAAATAAAGAAAATAGACCTTTTCTTAAATTTTTATTTTTTTGTTGTGCCCTTTGCCTAAAATCCTATTGTGGTTATCCTAGGAATTTATAAATAATTGTTATTCTCTATGTTCTCTCCAAAAATCTTTGAGTAACAAAATGCAATTTCATAATCCTTGAAAATTGTAAAGATATGTTGTATCTTATTAAGCTGGATGATAAGCAGAGGAAATTTATTTTTGTAGATGTTTCAATTATTCTTTGTGTTCAGGTAGTTACTGATCGATAGGCATTGATTAAAAACTTGTTGGTAAGTCCTTCAATGTATAATAATCAGAGTTCATGTTTTTAATTCACTAATCACAAGCTAGGGCCCTTATTTTCATGATAAATCTATTAAAAGGAAAAAAGCTACTGTATACAGCATAGGAATAATATATAATAAATTATATAATAACCAAATTTTATATGTAACAAGTAAGAGAGCCAAGCTTCTGAATGGTCAGCAGTAGAAAATATCTCCTCTTTCTTCTTTTTGTGCTGGTACTGGGGCTTGAACTTAGGGCCATTTTTTTTGCTTACAGCTAGACATTAATTGAAGATAAAGTCACATACTTTTTTGCCCAAGCTGGCTTCATACGGCAGTCATCAGATACCAGCCTTCGAAATAGCTAGGATCATAGCTGTAAGCTACTAGCAGCCAGATGGATTGTGTCTGTGTGTCTGTCTGTGTCTGTGTCTGTCTGTTGGTTGTGGGGCTTGAACTCTGAGCCTGGGCCCTCAGCTCTTCTGCTCAAGGTGAGTGCTGTACTACTTGAGCCACAGTGCCACTTCCGGTTTTCTGGTGGTTAATTGGAGATTATAGAGTCCCATGGACTTTCATGCCCATACTGGCTTTGAACTGTGAGCCTCATGAGGATCTCAGCTTCCTGAGTAGCTAGGATTACAGGCGTGCGCCTGGCAGGAAATTATTTTAATACACATAGAATCTCCACTTTTCTGTGGTCATAAAAAGCAGTTATTATGGATACTATAAATATTTACAGACATATTCTATGTGGGAAAATTCTTAAATCTTAGGATACATGTTGACAACTATGGTCAAATGTATGTTTGAATGTAGATAAGGATTAGCAAGTATATAATTAATAGGTAAAGGATGCTTTTATATTTTCTCTCCCAAAACTTTCATATTATTTTCCTTTTTAAAACACTTCAGTATCTTGGTGCATTATAGTTAAATGTGACTCTAAGAACTTCTTGAAAATAACACATAACATAAATCGCTCTTTATGGAATGAGAGTACTGTGTATAGTGACCATTGGATTCATGAGCAGATCAGTTGAATGTGAGATGTGGTAGAACATTTTACCCTTTAAGTATTATGTCCAAGAGTGGTATCACAGGATTATTCTTTTTAGTATTCATTGTGATTTCTGTACTGTCTATACCAATGTACATTCCCAACAGCAGAGTATGAGGCTTCCTTTTATCCCTGGATCCTCACCAGCATTTACTGTAGTTTTCTTGACAACAGCTTATTTTGACTGAGGTGAGGGAAGCCTAATATTTTGGTTTACATTTCATCTGTGGCTAAGGGTGTTGAATAATTCTTCATGTTCTTATTTTCCAGTTATACTTCTATTGAATACTGTTCATTTCTCCATTTGTTGATTGGATTTATTTGTTCTTTTGGTGTTCAGTTTTTGCAGATTCTTATTCTGAATATTAATTGTCATATGAATAGCTGACAAATTTTCTGCTGTTCTGTAGGCTGTCTGTTTACTCTGCTAATTTTTCCTTTGTTGTGCAGAAGCTATTTAATCTGTTACAGTCACATTTGTTAATTCATGTTATTTTTATTTCCTAAGCTATTACTGGAGTCATATTCAGAAAGCTGTTGCTGTTTTCTTATATTTATATACTATATATAAAATATAAAACATTTCAAGATTTATATAAGGTCTATGATCCATGCTGGATTTATTTTGTACAGAACAGATCTAGTTCAGTCTTCTACATTTAGATGTCCAGTTTTCCCAATACCATTTGTTGTAAAAGCTGTCTTCAGCATATATTTTTGATAGCTTTGCCACATAGCTATAGTTATATAGGTTTATTCCTGGGTCTTCTAGTCTATTCACGAGGACTATGTCTGTTTTTGTTCCAAGAGCATGCTGCTTTTGTTATTCTGGTTCTGTGATAGGCTTCATTCAAATGTGAAACCTCTAGCATTGCTTTTTGCTTAAGATTTGTTTTGCTCCTCATGGTCTTTTGAACTTCCATACAAATTTTAGGGTTTTTGTTTTTCTATTTTCATGAGGAATGTCATTAGAATTTTGATAAGATTTCATTTTATCTGTAGATCAACTTGGTTAATGTAGCTTTTATTCACAGGATTTATTCTGCCATTCCATGAATATAGAGAGATCTTTTTTATCTTCTAGTGTCTTCTTTAATTTGTTTCTTCAGTGTTTTGTAGTTTTCACGGTCAAAGTCATTCATTTCCCTAGATAAGTTTATTCCCAGTTTGTTTTTTGTTGTGTTTTGTTGTTTTGTTTTTTGAGGTTTTTGTGAATGGCTGTATTTTCCTGATTTCTCAAGCTATTTGTTGTTGTTACTGAGAAAAGCTACTGATTTTTTATGTCAATTTTGTATGCTGTTGTGCCACGAGATTTTAGGTGGAGTCAGTAGGATCTTAATTATAAGTTATTATCTATAAATAGGAATATTTTGACTTCTTCCTTTTCTTTTAGAATCCCTTTTCTTTCTCTTGCCTTACTGCTCTGGCTAGGAATTCAAATACTTCAGTTGAATAAGAGTGAAGAGAGTAGATACCTTTGTCTCATTCTTGACTTAAAGAAAATATTTTCCTCACTTGGTATGATATTGTTTATAGATTTGTCACATATAGACTTTATTGCTATGAAATATGTCCTTTCTGTTCCTAGTTTCATGAAAAAAGGCCTGAAACTTGCTAGGCAAGTGTTCTACCACTTCAGCTATGTCTCTAGATGTTAAATTTTGTCAAATGCCTTTACATCTATTGTGACAACCTTGTGATTTTTGCCTTGATTTTAGTTAAGGTGTTGTTTTACTTTTTTCTCTATGTGTGCATGTGTGTTGATACAAGAGCTTGAACTCGGGGCCTTTCACTCTTGCTTGGCTTTTTCACTCCAGGTTGATGCTCTTATCACTTGAGCCACACCTTTACTTGCAGCTTTTTGCTGGTTAATTGGGATGAGTGTCTCAGATTTGTCTGCTTGGCTGGCTTCATACCAACATCCACTGAGTAACTAGGATTACAAGTTGAGCCATTGGTGCCTGGTTCTGCTTTACTACCTTTATTGATTTGCATATGTTGAACCACTCTTGATCACTAGAATGAAACTAATTTGTTCATGACATAAATGATTGTTTTAATATTTCAGTTGTTCTATTGAGAATTTTTACATGTATTCTCATCTGAAATATTGGTGTATAGTTTTGGGTTTTTTTGTTGTTGTGATATCCTTTTCTGGTTTTGGTATCAAGTGATGCTGGTAGTGTTTGTTCCCTTTCTAGTTTATGGAATGGTTTGGGAAACATTGGTGTTGGTTCTTTAAAAGACTGGTAAAATTCAACATTGAATCCATCCGCTACTGGGCTCCCCTTCATTGGGAGACTGTTACTGCTTCAGTCTCATTGCTTTCTGTAGTTCTGGTTAAATTATTTATATCCTTTTGCTTCAGTATCCATAGGTCATACGTGTCTAGAAATATATCCATTTCTTAGAGTTTCTAATTTCTTGGAATATGTTTTTAAAATATTCTCTGATCACATGTGAATTTTTATTTTTTATGAGGTCTGTTTTTCATCTCTAATTAATTTAGGTTTTTTTCTTTCTTAGGTTTGGCCAAAGACTTGTCAGTCATATCTTTTCAAAGAATAATGCTTTATTTCATTGCTTAAGTTTTCCATTTCATTAGTTCCTACTCTGATCTTTATTATTTTCTTCCCATCTACTAATTTCAAGTTTAGCTTATTCTTGTTTTTCTAAAAGTTTGAGATTCATCATAGGTTATTTATTTGGGATCTTTTGACTTTTCAATGTAGTACTAACAGCTAGAAACTCCCCTCGTAGAACTGCCTTTGCTACATTCTCTGATGTACCAAATTCAACTATATTGTATTTTAGTGTTAACTAGATTCTAGGAATTTTCTTAAATTTCCTTCCTGATTTCTACCATGACCCGCTATTTTCATTCAAAGTGTATTACTCAATTAGATGTGTTTATGTAGTTTGTGTTTGCTATTGATTTTTCATTTTATCCCATTATGATCTAGTAAGATGTAAGTAACTTTCAGGTGCAGGTGTTTCACACCTGTAATCTTAGCTACTCAGGGTGTTGAAATCTAAGCATCTCAGTTCAAAACCAACCTGGGTAGGAAAGTCCACGAGACTCTTATCTACAGTTAAGCTCCAAAAAGCCAAAAGTGGGCTATGGTTCAACTGGTAAGGTGCTAGTCTTGAGCAAAAAAGCTGAAGGACAACACCTGAGTTCAAGCCCCAGGACTTACGTGCACATGCACACACGCCCCCCACCCCCCCAAACACAGGAAGAGAAAAGAAAAGAAAAGCTATTTCAGTAATCCTAGCAACTGATATCTAAGGATTACAATTTGAAGCCATCCTGGACAGGAAAATCCACAAGACTCTTACTTTCAATTAACTACCCAAAAAAAGCTGGAATTGGAGATGTGGTTCAAGTGGTAGAACACTAGCCCTGAGCAAAAAAAGCTAAGGGACAGTATCCAGACTCTTGAGTTTAAACCATACAACCCACATTACCCAACCCCCTCCCCCCAAAAATATCAATTTTCCTCTATTTGTTAAGATTTGCTTTATGGCCTAAAATCCATATTTTAGAAAATAAAAATTTCCTATGTTCTTGGCTCTAAAGTAATTACAATTAATATTATCTTTTATCTTTTTTGTATGCATGGGCTAAAAGTGCTTTTCTTCTCAGTTAGGGTTATGCTATCTTGTGGGTGAAGCTAATTTACTATGTTATATATAGTGGTATATAATATTTAATGTTCTAGGACTGTGCCATAATTTATGAAACTAAGTCCTTGTTTATTCTTATTTAGGAATTTGGAAAAGAAATATTGTTTTTAGCGTAGCTATAGAAATGATTAAATTTTCTTAAGCAGTAAGGAAATGGTTAAGTATTCCTTGGGATCTCTTATATCTCACTCTAGTTTAATAAATTCAAAGAAAGATAAAGGACCAAATGTTTGCATTCAGTCCTTTCATTGTTTACGCTACTCATCATGAGACATGGGAAATTACAGATCCCTTTTGTTGTAGAGACAGAAATTTCTGGTATGCTTTTTTGGTATCATTAACTTTGGTGGCCAAGAATACTAGGGAGGTAGAAGTTGCCCATCCAAGTCAAACTACTTCTCTTGCTCAGGACTTAGGATGAAGTCTTTGGGAGGAATATTTGGCCAGCAGTACATTCCCCATCACTGTATATACAAATGAAAGCCACTGAAAGAACAGTCTGTTGTCTACCCAGGATGGAGAGCCAGCCAGTCTGGACACAGATACCCACTTAAATGCCAACAGGTGCCATGAAATAATCATAGATCTTTAAAAGGGAATAGGAGATAGAGGTTAGCTGTGAAGCTGACCTTGGGGAGATCAGACAAGATACATGACTGCAGAATGCTTTATTGAACGAGTGAACGCATTAAGAGTACAGTGGCTACTTCTCGTGTGCTGATTGTCTTCCATCTCTGTTAATAGTGGAAAATGACAGCACGTAGGAAACAAGCAACTGGGTTTGAATTACACTGACCCACATGTCTTTCTTTCATTCACCATATTTGGAACATAGATCAGAATGTAGTAAGAGTTTCCAGCTGTGCACTATTCATTTATTTTGAAGTTAGCATGCTAGAGTCTTAACTCAGCATTTATGTATTGTCAGTTCTGCAAAGGCATGAGCTTAGGTCTAAGTGGGAAGAAATTCAGGTTTCATCCCATTAACAATACAGCTCAGTCTGTAGTTGAGGCAATGGACTTGTTTTTCTGAGTGTTAAAGCATTGCTCATGCGTTCTTGGGACTTTTAACTTGCAGATGCTAATGCTGGAGACCGTGGACAGACCAATAATGCCGCTTCTGCATCAGCTTCCAACTCCACCTGAACAGTCCCAAGTAGCCAGCTGCACAGGAAAAACCACCAGTTACTTGAGTGTCACTCAGCAACACTGGTCACGTTTGGAAAGAAAATTAAAAAGAGAAAAAAAAAAACTTGTTCATTTTAGTGTTCAATTTTTTTTATTATTGTTCTTATTTAACCTTGTAAAATACCTATAAATACAAACCAATTTCATTGTATTCTCACTTTGCAGGAGATCCAGGGGGCGGAAGGGCTGCTGGGAGGGGGAAAGCGGAGCACTAGAACACACAATCTCTCTCCCGTGACAATCTTTTTTTTTTTTTGTCAAAAGTCTGCTGTTGTGTATTTAAAAACAGGGCTCCTGCCTCATGCCCCTTCCATAAAAGAAGAAAACCTTGTTCTGTGCTGAAGTTTTCTTGAACTTTATTTTCTCTTGAAGTCTAGCATAAGACTTTGGGATAGTGCACAACTTGAAATTGGTTGGGAGCTTAGCAGGTATAACTCAACAGGGACTTAAATGTCACTTGTAAAATTAATGCATATTCTTGGTATTTGAGGACTTGCCTTTGGCATATGATGGCAGGTGTGGCAGGCAGACAAAAATAAAAAACAAAAAAGGATACATGTATCTTTTGTAACCCAGGGAGGTTAATAAAGTTCGCAACTACAAGAGAAGTTTGTAAGTTGATTGGTTAAGGTTTGTTTACATGTTCGCAGAACTCTGCAAGTGGATCTTTGTTTGCCTGACCAAAGGCTCTCTGCAAGTCATACAGTTTTAAACTGGTTCCCTAGGAAGAGATTGGAGAGTGTTGAGCAAGCCATCTGCATGCAAGGCCAGAGTCTGACAGGCCTAGGGGAGGGGCCAGGCCAGGGGCAGATCTCACCACTGTGAACGAATTTGTCCAGAGCTTTGTCTAAAGTTACTTCCCTTGGAGAGATACACTTGAGAAGAGGACATTATTATAGATAAATAATGTGAACTGTAACAGTCTACTGCTTTATTTTTTCGTTTTTTGAATTGAAAATCAAGTTTGCAGGAATCGCCACCTTCTACTATAGTTTTAATTTTAAATCCAAATCTAGAATCTATTTAATTTCAGCTTTTTTTAAACTCATGCTTTTTAAATTTATTTATTGATGCATGTCAGATAGGCCATGATTTTAGATGGTAGGAATATTAAAAAGTACACAGCAAAATAATAAACAGTCACCTGTACCTGCTGACTTTATAGGAAAACTAATTCTATAAATGTGTGTATATGTTATATATACATATATTCAATACTGCCTTTTTATTTCTGTCTACAATATCAAAGTTGACTGGTTGAAGCATGAGAAGAATGTTTCCCCCACACCCAGTTCAGAGTTTTCGTTTCTGTTTTCTTTGTTAATCAGTGAATGGTGTAAGAATCAGTCTCTTGTTTTTGAAGAAAAAGCAATATTCCTTGGAAAGCAAGGAGGATTGAAGGATTATGTTTGCAGTGAGGAAATAGATTTTCATAACTAGTTTTTTTTTAATACTTTTAAGGTTGGTATTTTCATGGGCCTTATATACTCTAAAAGAACCTTAGTCACCTTGGTGCTTATGGGCCATTACTTGACCTATGAATCTTTAAGGCACAATCAGTTAGATCTTACTTTTAAAGATCACTTGAGTGATGGCCGCCTTTCCTTCCCACCCAGTCCTTCCCCGCTGGGATTAACTGTAGGGCTTCAGAGCTGAGCCCTAGGGTGTGTGTAGCCTCCTTTCACCCTTCTTATTGCCATCTTAGGTCATAGTGTAGGGGTCTCGTCCTCTGGGTGGTTAGGAAGTGCAGTCTCCTGGCAGCCCTCACACAGGCCCCAACACCCTATCCTGCTTAACCATTTGTGTGACTCCTCAAGAGTCATACTGCCTGCTGATACCCAGAAGGACAACTGTGAGCCATCTTAATTTTCACTCACTGTTTCGCTAAGCTCTTTGGGTCACAAAAGAGGTTTCTCAAACCTCTAGTTATATCAGAGTTCATGAGAAGGGAAACTTCAGTCAAACCAAATCCAGCTGAACTTTCCTTTTTATAAAAAGTGCTTCTGAGAGTTAATTAAGATTTGAAATAAAAAAAAAATTACTTAGCAGCAGGGGATGACCTGGTAGACCATTTTCAGAAAGGATTTATAAAGAATCTGAACAGGCAGGTCCATGACAGAAATGGACCAGCTTTCAGATCAAACTGCCCAGCCAGATGTTTGGGTACAAACACTAAGCTGGACTTTGGGCACTTGCTAGAGTCCAGTAAGATCAATGCTTGTAAGAGAAGATTTTCCCCCTACAAATGGGAGGAAGAGAAGAGGAGAGGAAAGTCAGATGCTTTTCTCTCAGTGTGTGTGTTTGGGTGTGTTTGCACATGTGTGTGTGCATTCACATGCATGTGTGAGGGCTGAGGTGCACGATTTTTCTTTCTCAAGGATCATGGCAGGATCATAGAACTCTTTTATACAAGTGAGATCCAGGTCTCTGAATATCTGTGTAAATAATAATAATAATAATAATAATTAAAAGCTCCTCACCAAATTCAAGCTTGTACATTATATTTTCTTTCAATGTTTTTAAATTTAAGTTTTATTGTTTTGTATGTAAATATATGGACCCAGGAACTGTTATTAATGAGCAAAAAGTTACTGTTCAGGGCAGTGATTCTGTTTAATAATCAGACAAAATGTAGACGAGCTTTTTAAAGCCATATAGTTTTAACTCTGTACAGTAGGTACCGGCCTGTATTATTGTAACAATAACTCTAGCAATGTATAGTGTATCTATATAGTTTGGAGTGCCTTCGCTTCCATGTGTTTAGTTTTTTGTTTTGTTCTCATTTTTTAAAGTTTTAATTGCTCTCCTTTATCCATGTCACACTGTCCATCTCTTTTCCCTTTGAGATAACAATATCTACCCCTCCAGATAAGTTTCAGTGACAGCATGCTCAGGAGTGGGAAGAGGAAAACATGTTTGTAATCTCATTTCATTCAAGCCTGGCCTTTGTTTTGGTTTCATTTTGTGCACAGTCCATTCAGGGACTCAGTGTAGCACAGGAAGCTCTAGAGCTGGAGAATATAGACTAGATTACATCATACACATCTGTTCCACAAACCCCAGCCCTGGGTCTTAGTAACAACAGATTCTAAGAGCCTTCTGTGCTGGCTCTCTCCTTATGTACTTCCTTCCCAAATGAGAGCAAGGGAGAAAAAAGTGGGTTTTGTTTTTGTACAAATCAAGGTGTTTTAATAGTACTGTGTTTTGTTCCATCAGTGATGTACATGCCTTCGTTGGTAGTTACTGGCGCCATGCTGATGGAGGGTCATTGTCTAACAAGGGAACTCTCCACCCAATCCTGCCATCTTTACCCCTGCTCCATGAAATGTCATTTTCATTTCTTTCTTAAGAAAGTTTCATTCTTATTGTGTGCCCAAAATGAAGGCCTTTTTTACTCTTAAGAAAAATAGTATTGTTTTGCCTCCAACTACTCCACATATGATGTCTTGAATAGAAAAGAAAAAAAAAAAGACCAAAGGTTGCTATTTTTAAAACATCATGTGTTTGTTCCAGCAAGGCAGAAGACTGCACCTTCTTTCCAATGACATGCGTCATTTTTTAAAAGTCCTCTTAATTTTTAGAGTCATCCCTTTGGTTTGTGTTTTAATAAAGGTATGCCTAGCCAGCCATCTCGTCTGCACCAATGCAAAGGTTTCTGAGAGGATTATTCATTCTCTAACCCTGTGGATATAAAGACACTGGCATTTTATTTTTCCTTTTCAATGAATTTGGAGTCTTCCAAAGGAAGTTTGGCCAATGCCAGATCCCCAGGAGTTTGGGGGTTTTGTTTTTTGTTTTTTTAATCAGAATTGTATCTGATTCCTATTCATGTTAGTGATCATTGTCATCACAGAGACTAACATTTTTCTCCCCTATATGAAAGAACAAGCATGCTTTACAATGTAATCTGTCTTTTCTGGTAGAAATCTGAGCCACTGAAAATAAGAGAAACAACTAGAAGCAAAGTAGAGTCCCAGACTTAAATTCTACCTGTGAGAGTCTGAAAGTAATCCCTGGGTTTTGGATTATTTTCATGCAGATTATGCCGTTTTATTCAAGTTTGTTGCTCCGTTTTGCACCTCCACAATAAGAGTAAAGTGACAACCAGTACATGAGGGGTTCTCTTGACAAAGTAGACTTCCTTGTGGTAACTTTTTAAGTTTCTTTTTCTTACTATATCTGTCTACAGGCAGATACAGATAGATGTATGAAAATGTGCTTGCCTGTAAAATTTGCATTTATAAATGTGTTGCCGATGGATCACTTGGGCCTGTACACATACCAATTAGCGTGACCACTTCCATCTTAAAAACAAATCTAAAAATTTATTATATATATATATATATATATAAAGGACTGTGGGTTGTATACAAACTATTGCAAACACTTGTGCAAATCTGTCTTGATATAAGGAAAAGCAAAATCTGTATAACATTATTACTACTTGAATGCCTCTGTGACTGAATTTTTTTTCATTTTAAATATAAACTTTTTTGTGAAAAGTATGCTCAATGTTTTTTTTTTTCCTCTTTCCCCATTCCCTTGTAAATACATTTCGTTCTATGTGACTTGGTTTGGAAATAGTTAACTGGTACTGTAATTTGCATTAAATAAAAAGTAGGTTAGTCTGGAAATGAAATTAAAATTCACAAGTGTGTGGTCTTTATTTCAGTCCCACCCTCTTTCTTCACCCTACCTGTGTTGCCACTGTAACAATGTAGTCACATCACCCCCACCCCCCCTAGGGAAACATGACTCTTTGTTACAAAAATCAAGGCGTCAACATCATGTCTCGTTCTTTGAAATAACCTTAACTCCACTGCATAGCCACAAGAGGTGCAGCTTCCAGCGTGGAAACCTTTGGATCTGATACTGAGGAAGGGTTGCTGACACTGCTTTGAAAAATAAATATCCCTGAAAGGGACAGTTGTAAAAATGTGTAAAAGCTGCTGTCTTTTGATTACTGTGTTCATACTTTGGTGTAGCTGTATTTTCTTTTAACTTTCATCCTATTAATAATGGTCTTTGGGGAGGGTCTCTGTAAAACATGAACACCACAAACAGTGGGGCTGTACCTACCAGGTAACCAACACATTGTGTTTGACTCTGCTCATTTCCAATACTGGATGATGTATGTAAACATGTTCTGTCTCTTAGTACAAAAAGAAACATCTTTTTTTTTCAGGGCTGGCTTAACTGTCAGGCCTAACCTAAAGGCTAGATAAAAGGTCATGTGACTGCTGCTTCAATAAAAACAAATTTATATTCGATAAAGTCTTGTTCTCTTTATTTGCCTTAACAATTTTTAATGGGGGAGGAAACACAAATAGCATTTGTGCTTGTAGCACAGGTCTACACCTGGCATGGAGTCACTGCTGCCCTAATTAGGAAATACCATCACCATTTGAACTGGGATTTGGTGTCCTGTAAGCTGTTCTTTTAGAATGTGAAAAGGCTCCTTTGGGATTTTGTAACTGCTTTTCTCCAGAAATGAGGGGCCACTCAACCTTCCCACATGATATGCTGTCCATATCCAAACATGACAGAGGCAGGTAAGTGCCAGGAGGTAGGCAATAACACATAGATCTATCCTCTGAACACTGAATCTTCCCCTCCTGAGCCAGGAACTTGAAGAAAAGAGGCCACAGAGATGTCTAGTTCTTGTTTTAAAAGCTCAAAGAAGGGGGTAATGAGGACATTGAAATGTTTGAGAATAAAAACGTTGAATCTCTATGAAGCTGGGTGCCAGTGGCTCACGCCTGTAATCCTAGCTACTCAGGAGGCTGAGATCTGAGGATCACAGTTCAAAGCCAGCCTGGGCAGGAACATCCATGAGACTCATCTCCAATTCACCACCAGAAAACCAGAAGTGGCACTTGTGGCTCAAGTGGTAGAGAGCTTGCCTTGAGCTGAAGAGCTGAGGGTCAGTGTCCAGGCCCAGAGTTAAAACCCCATGAATGACCAAAGAAAAAGTATAATCTGGCTCCTCATCCTAATAGAGAAACACGAAGCTGCTGAAAAGGCACCCTGTGCATCAGTGCACCTAATGGTGCATCTTAACTACTCTTGCAACACACTACATTACAATCTATGAGTCTTCCATTGATTTACTGTTTGGGGAGCTGCTTGAGTGTTTTAAAAATGAATACTGGAAACAAGTTTTAGTAGCTCATTCCTGAAATTTTAGCTAGTTTCCAGAAGCTAAGTTTGGAAGGACGGTGGTTCAAGGCCAGCTGGGCATTATATGCAAGACCCCTCCTTAACCAATAATTGGGCATGGTGGCTTGCACCTATCAGAGACTGAGATGAGAATTGTAGTTCTAGGCCAGCTCCAACAGAAAAGTCCATGAGACTCCATCCCCACAAAGTTGACCTTCCAGCTATGATCCAGGCAGGAAGCAAGACCCTGTTTTCAAAACCAGTGTTAGCTGGACACCAGTGGCCCACATCTGTATACATACCTACTCAGGAGGTTGAGATCTAAGAATTGCTGTTCAAAGCCAGCCCAGAAAAGTCAGTGAAAGTCTTTAGTTACCAGCAAAAAAAAGAACAGGAAGTAAAACTGTGGCTCAAGTGATAGAGTGCCAGCCTGGAGTAAAGAAGCCCATTGAAGGGCTGGGAAGTTGGCTCAGTGGTAGAGTGCTTGCCTTGCATGCATGAGGCCCTGGGTACGATCCCTCAGCACCACATAAGCAAAAAGAAAAAAGCCGGAAGTGGCGCTGTGGCTCAAGTGGTAGAGCGCTAGCATTGAGCTGAAGAGCTGAGGGACAGTGCTCAGGCCCAGAGTTCAGGCCCCATGACCGGACCCAAAAAAAAAAAAAAAAGAAGCCCATTGAGAGACTAGTAAATCTAAAGGTAGGAGAAAGAATAAGTTTATTACTTTCACTTAGTGATTCCTCAAAAATTATCCTGCTTGGGGCTGGGAAGGTGGCTTAGTGGTAGAGTGCTTGCCTAACATGCATGAAGCCCTGGATTTGAGTCCTCAGTATACCACATAAACAGAAAAAGCCAGAAATGGCACTATGGTTCAAGTGGTAGAGTGCTAGCTTTGAGCTCAGGGACAGTACCCAGGCCCTGAGTTCAAGTCCCAGGACTAGCAAAAAACAAAAATCCTGCTTCTTGTAAAATGCTGAGCCTTTTTTTTTTTTTTTTTTGTCAGTCATGGGGCTTGAACTCTGGGCCTGGGCAATGCTGAGCATTAAGCAACTCAATTGCTTGCGGCTTTTTTGTAACAACATACTTTAAATTAATTCAGTGCCAGTCTCTGGTGGCTCATACCTGTAATCCTGGCTACTCAGGAAACTCAAGTCTGAGAATCACAGTTCAAAGCCCATGAGACTTATCTCCAATTAACTACCAACATGCCAAAAGTACAGCTGTGACTCAAGTGGCAGAGTGCCAGCCTTCAGTGAAAAAGCCAAATGACAGTGCCCAATAACAGCATACACACAAAAAAGGTAAAATCAGTCTTACATTTATATGCATTTAAGTGTTCGTACAGAACACTCATGAACAAATTAAATCATGTTTATGTTTTTATACCAGCGGAGTCTACAGGTAGGTATAAAGGGCAGTAATAAAATAGTAAAATATGCATGTATACATGTATATATTGAGACAGGGTCTCACAATGGAGGTCCAAGCTGATCTCAAACTCTTGATCCTGCCTTAGCAGCCTCCTGAGTGCTGAGATTACATCATGTTGTGCTTTTTTTTTTTTTTTTTTGTCTGTCATAGGTCTTGAACTCTGGGCCTTGGTGCTGATGCTCAGCTCTTCAGATCAAGGCACGCACTCTACCACTTGAGCCACAGTGCTACTTCCAGTTTTCTGGTGGTTTGTTGGAGATAAGAGACTCACGGATGTTCCTGCCCAGGTTGGCTTTGAACTGTGATCCTCAGATCTCAGCCTCCTGAGTAGCTAGGATTACAGGCATGAGCTGCACCAGTGCCTGGCGTGTTGTACATTTGTTAAAATTTCTATTTCCTTACTCCCACATTTCTTTCTTCCCCCAAAAAGGAGATCACAAAAGTTTTACATATCTGGCCTAAAATGTATTACTTAAATCTCCTTGCCTTGACTTCACATGAAACCCAGGAATCTATTTGCTAAGCCTCATTCTTATATAAAGTGAAGTGTAGATTGTGGACATAGCATTTTTATTCATAAATGGTTGTGAGCAAGGCAGACACTTCTACACCCTTTGAGAAGAGATGCACAGAAACATCAGTGCATGCAAGTGGCACATTTATTAACTGTAACCTTGGACTTGTTGCCACACATCTGAAGCCAGGCCCCAGTCAGAATGGGAGTGGATATACCTACCCAAAGCCAGAGGCAGCCCCTGTCTTCCCACAGGGACCTGTCCTTGGCACCTTGGTCTCACTGAACCCCGTGCAGCTTCAGCCTCCATGTAAAGTTCCTTCTGCTATGTCACATGTCACTTGTTTTGATTCATGTAATAACTGTTTGTTATGACAGGGTTTGGGGAACTATTAATAACAAGTGCTTTGTTTTCTTAACTATAAACTCAGGTCAGAATCTACATCCCAGTCACCGCTGCATACCAACTCAAGCAGGTCTTGATATTATTAATGTATTTGAGTGGATGCACAGACCCAGAATAATGTGCACAGAACAAGGTCGTGACACTTCTTGCATGTAATGCAGGCCTCCTGGCTTCTCTAGAAGATAAGTCACTACATGAATGATGGACACAGGCCTGGAATCCAGTGAGCAGCTAGAAAGTGGCTGGGTGTTGGGGTTGAACATTAAAAATGCCGATGAAAAGCCAAGCCATTGAGCTGGTATATGAGTGTGGACCATCATTTGGCCCAGGCCTGGACACCCCTTCTCTCTCCCAACCCTATTACTTCTGTGGGATTTGGGACTTAGTGGGATTTAGAGATTTATTCCCAGACCACAGGGCTTTGTCTAAGGGAAGGGCAGCTTTGTCACCCTGATAGACCTGAACTTTAAGCCAGTACTGTCCTTTGCTGAACTGAGTCCCCTTCTGGAGAAATGCCTGCCAGCTGGGGTCACAAGGCAGTGTGAGCTATCACGGTGTCCATCTGTGTAGCCCTGGAAGTGGCAGCTCGGGCGGAGGGCTCCGGGTCTGCCTGTCCCACAGAAGCCTCACTCAGAGACAGCTGCTCAGTCATCTGTGTTGCTGATCAGCTCCTGAATGAGTGGGGTGGTGAAGAAGTGGTTGGTATCTTGGATTCGCAGCAGTTGCTGGGTGTGCTGAGCATTGAGGCTCCGTAGCTCTGTGAGTACAGCCATGATCTTCATGAACAGGAACCTGTGGGTCAGCCAGAGGAAGAGGATGGAGATACAGCCGCCCTCTCTCCCATCCTCCAGCCCCCTGGACACATCTCTGAGAGTACAAGGTCAATCTCGGGACAGCTCAGGTCATCCAATTCCTTTAGCTCATCTACAAGGAGGGCAGACGGCATGCCAGCACTTCAGGTGGAAGCTGTAATCCCACCCCACCCAGAGGCTAAAGTCCTAAAAGCCTTGAGTAGTACATAGAGATCTTAGTGGGAAAGGCACTTACAGGCATAAATGTATTGGACTTACACGCATCAAATACATAGGTTAGGGAAAAGAGACCAGGGATCACTTTCTTGGTTAAAATCCAGGAGCCAGGACCTGCAGACTCAGCTCTCTTCCTGAACTTAACTCTGGATCTAGTGTCTGGATACACTACATGCCTCCTTCTCTCCAGAAGATAAAGAAAGCTGGCTGGCACCTCCAGCCTCTTGGCTACGTACAGAGGGAAGACTGACATGGCCACTTCTAGCATCTCATCTTCTTCTGAGCCCAAAAGGAAGCTGATGTGGGCCAAGGGAGAATTTGAGTTTCAAGTTAACACTCTAGTACCAGGACTAGCTGCCTTAATCCTCAAGACATCAGGCTCTTTGTGACCCAAGTTTCTCCTGGTCCTCAGGCTGTGGGCATCAGACTGGACACTAGAATGTAGGAATACTAAGGTCCAGTGAGGGTGTGGGAGCCTCTGTTGAGGACACCTTCCAAGTAGCCTTCTTAAGTAGCCTTCTTTTGAGTTGCAACCAGAACCAGATAGGTTGCTTCCTTCCTGGTCTTGGTTTGTACTCTTCCTGGGAAAGTGTTAAAGCTTATGCTTTGGTTTTGGTCTGTTTTGAGCCCATGCCAGTCTCCACCCCTCTGTAGAATCCTAGGCCATAGCCCTGAGCCTCAGCCCTTTACAGGACACTGTTACAACTACATTCTGGGGCGATTAAAGATAATAACACACAGAAATTGTTGGGCATTGTGGCCAGCACTTCCTAATAAATAATAACTGTTGTGATTGTCTTATGGTCAGTATCGTTATCTGCACTGTCATTATGGCTCATTACTGGCCATTGCTAGAAGACCCTGTAGGAGACTCTGGTTTTTGATAGGAGCAGACAAATGTCCCTTCATCTGATCTAGCCTCTGGTTTCAACATGACTAGGCTGGTGCCAGAGCTAACCAGGAAGGGCAGGTCTCGGTGGAGGCCACAGGATGCATCCCCAGAGCCTGAGATGTCAGAGGCTACCTCAGACATATATTGCTGCCTGAGAGGCTCAGGCAGGCAGAGAGCAGGAGGGCAGAGCTGCAAGCAGGATCCCAGTGCCCTATGCAGCCTTCTCCCTGCCTGTTCTCACCGGTGGGCAGGCTGTGGCCGACTGCACTCAATGTAGGCCTTCAGGGTGAGGGCAAATCTCTCCTGTAGCTGGTCCACTGCCCTGCGCTCTACTACACCAGGGCGATCTGTGGAGCGAAGGGAAGGGAGTGTATCAGCAAGGGCAGGCCGGACAAAGGCAGGCTCCCCCCTTGGCCCCTCCCCACCAAGCACCTTCAAAGCTGGAGGAGTCACCCCGGCAGGGCTGGGAAGGAGGCCCGTTGGCGCTCTCTGCGTCACCCCACTGACCCAGAGAAACCATCCTGTCTGCAGTCTAGCTGGGGGCTGAGTAGGGGAGCCAGGCTAGTGGTGGGAAAGTTCCCTGGGGAGAGGGTGGGTGGGATAGGGGCAGATCCTCTGAGGAAATGACACCAGCAAAGCCATCACCTGGGGAGAAGAGGGAGATGGCTTGCATCAGCACATACTCCTCCTTATGCAGCTGCAGCTTCTTCAGCATGTAGTGGAATTTTATCGCAGGATCCACTAGAAGTTTCTGGAAGCCACCTGTGGATGGGTATATTGATGGAGAAGCAGGACGCTGACCCAGGAGCCAGCCTTCCCTCACCATTGCCCAGTCTTCCTGCCCTGCCAGCCCAGGATAGCCTATTGTAGCTCCCTCCCTCCCACCACCGCCTCCTCCTTTCCTCCTCCCCCCACCAGGGCACCTTCAGGGTCTTCAAAACAGTAGACCAGCCGGCCACACTCCCAGGTCCCCGTCTCTGTGTTGAACAACGTGTTGAACCTCAGTACGCACATTTCAAAGGTGGCCCCCTTCAACAGGGAGATCTGGTCCTCGATAGGCAAGTCCCTGGCAGCAAGGATGGGGAGGGGATCACAGCTCCCAGGAAACTACCCACAGGCCACCCCGATAATCCAGGAGTTGGAGGGGGAAGAGGAAGAGAAGCAGGAAGAGGAGGGGGGGGGAGGAAAGGAGGGAAAAGGGAGGGGTAAGGGAAGAAGCAGCAGGAGGAGAGGAAGGAAGAGAAAAGAAAGGGAGGCAGAGGAGTGGAGGAAAAGCAGGAGGGGGAGAAGAGAGAGGTAGAGGAGGAGGAGAGGAAGAGTTAAGGGAGGAGAGATGAAAGGGGAGAAGGGGAAGAAGGAGGGGCAGGAGAGGAAGAGGAGGAGGAGAAGGAAAAGGAGGAGGAAAACAGCCAGGAAGGACTCCTCCAGAGGACTATGGCTCCCTCCAGTCTCTGCCCATGACAGGCCAGCCAAGCAAGTGACTTTCCCCTACAGCATCCTCTCCTCTCCTGCTGCCCTCGGGAGCCCTCCAGGCCCACTTAGCTTGAAGCTAGGAGCTTTACAACCTGGCCCTTCCTCTCCAACTTCTCACATAGCCACTGGCCTACAGTCAATGTCTTAGCTCTTGTTTCTTAGTCTTCTTCTGCCTCAGTTGCTCTACTTAGAGCATCACCTAAGTAAATTGTGCTCATTTTTCAAGCCAAGCTGTCTTTGCCCTTCCTAGAGCTGTTGCCAGAGTGCAGAGTCCCATACATGTCACTCCTTTTTGAGCTCTGTAGAGTGGAGATAATCGCTCCCAGTATTAATGTGCACATACTTCTTTCTGCCCTTTCTCTCCAGACAGCCTGGATGACTTGAGCCTGGCTATTCGCACCTGCCCTCTCCCTACCAATGAAATCCAGGCTTTCTGCATGTGTGATTCAGCCCCACTTGTCCAGGCTCAGCAAGCAAGGTGGCTAGCTCCGAGGCAAATATACCCTGCACCCTCTCCAGTCCTTGAGACTTTATCTTATGGGACTAGGCTCTCAGCACACAAGGGTTACTGGGTTGCCTGATGAGCCCAGTTGGCTGTGACCTCTAGGTCCAGCTATGTCTAGACCTGGCTCTTTGGATGTCAGTGCCACCCATCCTCCCCTTGGAAGCAGACAGCTGGAAGTCCAATGTCTATTCCCTTCTCTCTTCTCTTTTCCCTCTCTGGAATTCCTTCTTTTTTCCCATCCAACTCATTCTTGGCTCTGAAAAAGTCCAATTGTGATTTCTGCCCTTCTGGTAGAAAAGGGAAGGGAATTGCTATCCGAATGTCCACGAAGTGGCCATTATTTGGGGGGACATTTCTTATTTCATACAACAGCCCTTTGCTGGGGTTAACAGACTCTCCTTTGCCACTGAAGTCCATCCCCTAAACTCCTGGGGCCTGCCCCAGATCCTGTGACCCTCTAGGCCATTTCCTTTCCTCTCCACATTTCCCCCCCTCAACCCTCATGGCCTACCTGAAGTACGAGATGACTTTGGCGAAGTTGATGACACCCTTGAACATGTAGGTTGACATGTCAGCCAGGTGGGGCAGCATGGGGATGATCTCCTTGCCATCCCTGTAGGCCGGGGGGTTGTAGTTCCAGACACTGCCATCTTCCCCCCGCAGCTGCAGAGAAATCTTCATGGGACAGAGCTCTTTCCTGAACTCACTCCAGTTGAGAGACGGCTCTCCCAGTGGACTCTGCAGGAGCTCTGGGGTCTCACACTCACTGTTGAACACCTTTGGTAGCTAGAATGCACACAGGAGACAGGGAGAGGGGACAGGCTGTGTGTTTTCATGGAGATGTTTCCATCCATGTCCCACATGGCCACTGCACCTGACAAATGCAGGTCCATGTGCGGCCGCATGCACACTCAGCCCTTGTTCCTTCTTTCTGGCCCTATCGGGTGATGCTTTGTGAATGTGTGAATGAATGGCCAAACGTGTTCATGCCTGGTCCATGTGGAGGGTGGGAGTGGGGGTGTTTCTCCTTCCAGATGTTTCTCCCAAGCATCCCTACTGTGGGGCTCAGGAGCTACAGGTGGGAAGGGCAGAAGCTGAGATTTCTGGGCCAATCGAATCCCCTTTGGGGAGCTGGGGCAGATCACCTGAGATACTTGTGCGCACTCAGGGAGAGAGGCCCTGGGGGAGGGCCCACAGAAAGGTCATTATTCCAGCAGACCTTTCAAAAATCCCCCTTTGCCATCCACAGGCTGAGACCTTATACTTAGCCTCCTCTCCGCTTAGCCTCAGACCTAAGATGGGAAGATTGGGCAGAGATTCTCCAACCCATGGAGTCTTGTCCCCCACTTCAGAGAAGTGCTTGGGAATCTGCATTCCTAACAAATCCCCCCAAGGTTCTGGAGCTTCCTGAGTCCAGAACCTCCCCGAGTCTCCCCTGTAGGAATCCCTGGGGGCGAGGGATAAACCCACTGGGGCTTCTAAGAGGTGCTGAAGCCAGGTGGAAAGGCCTCTTACCCGGAAATCCTTGAAGTGGGAGAAGGTGGTGTCGAAGGTTTTCGTCTGAGCGTCCATCAACTCCGCGATCAACATGCGCTGCTCGGGGGTCAGGCCCTGCACCCCGGGGGGCTGCGCCTCCAGACGTTCCTTCTTCTTCTTCTTGATCAGGGCGCGTCTCTGCTCCACCGCAGCGTCCGACATGATCACTGCGGGGTGGGGAGGGCCGCGAAGCAGGCTATGCACGCGTGCTCTCCTCATCCAGGTGAGAAGAACCCAGCAGCAGCAGCCTTCCACGCACACGTGTGCGCTCACATCCAGGCGCACAATGTGTGTGCACACCAGTGAATGGCCCCCGTGTCTGGCCACGGTGTGTGCCCCCAGTGTCCCTCCCCCGGCCCCTCTCCCCGGGGAACCTCCCCCCCATCCCACCTACCCACCCAGAGCGCACGGTGCCCGGACAGCCTGCCGGCGCCCATCACTCACTCTCCTTCTTCATGCCGCTCTCCAGGCACTTCCGCAGGCGACAGGCCTGACACTGCCGCCGCGTCTTGCGCGTGATCTCGCAGGTGCCCTTGCGGAACGGGCACCTCAGGCGCACGTTGCGTTTCATGGCCCTCCTGCGAGAGGAGAGGGGGCGACTGGGGCACCGTGCTGGGAACACCTGGCTCCGAACTAGGCCAGGGACGCCAGGCCGCTGGGGCCCGCACGCTACTCAGAGGAGAGGCCTGGCTCACCCAGCTAGCTGCAGGAGCAGCCCTGGAGATCTGTCCCCAAGGCCTGGCCATGGCAGCTGGGGGCTCTTCACTCTGGTGACACTGAACTTGTCACAACACACAGCTTGCCACAGTGAGGCCCGGGAGGTCCTCCTCCTATGTCCTGGGGCAGAAGTCTGAGTGCTCTACCCACATGTTGACCAGTACCCCATCTTTAGGATTTGTGGGGAAAGGAAGCAAGAGAGAGCCAAATTAGGCTGGCCATTGGGGGAATAAATAAGGACTCAAAGGTGGGGGTGGTCTGATCCTTCCTCACCCATTCCTTTCTCCCCTCCCTTCTGTGCTGAGAGTAGCCTTGCTGAGCTGCCTGGCTCTAGTCTTTCTGTTTCTTCAGCTGGACAATATGAATCTTCTGCCCAGGGCTGCCTTGCTTTTGAGATGGAATAGTTTAGTGCCTCATTTGTGGCTCCTCCCTGTCTATTTCGAGATGAGACTATTTTATCCATTCATTGTATGCCCAATCTTTACTTAATTTCCCTATAAGACTGAACACTTGCCCCTTGGATTTCCCTATTCTTTCATTTTTTTACTGACTCATCTTTTATTCAAGAACCCATGAGGAACAAGGAGTATTTTAAGGGAAGGGGACCTTGACTGGGTACATCCAACAAGAATGGAAGATGAAAGATTCCTCTGCTATAGAAATGGCTCGTTTGAATGGAGACAGATTGGAGACAGAGCAAACTGAGGCCTCTGAGACACTGCGTGGAGGGCTAAGGGAAGATCCAGTTAGATGTACCCCAGTGTACCCATGGCAGCAGGTGCGCGAAGGTTGGTGCGTGACTACCTAAAGAATCCCTTGCAACCTTCACATGTCAAGACGTTGAAGTGGTAGCCATTGGCCTTGTCCCCACAGACACGGCAGATTTGGGGACTGCCATCTTCTTCGTCTACATCGGTGGTGGGCCTTCCTGAAACCGAGTCTGCTTCTTCACAGGCCACAGGGGCAGCCTGGCTCCATCTTTCTTCAGGTCTCATCTCCAGGTTTTCTTCTTAGCCTCTTGAACTAGAAGTGAAAAAAAAAAAAATAGAAGCATGAAAGGGCTGGACAGTGAGTGACCGGCTAGGGACTGTGCCTTCTGAACATGGCTCACATTTGGGTCTGGTGCTAGGCCAAAGAGCTGACTTGTCATGGAAAACAAAAATGTGGGAGAGGGTTTGAATTGGAACTATGACATCCTGTATAGAATGTCTTAGGATAGAACACTTGTGGGAGAGACGGGGTTATCAGGGGGAAGAAGTGAGAAGAGAAAGAGGAGGAGAGGCAGTCTGGATCGGGTCAAATAGTACTCGAGAGGATGAGTTGAAGAGGCTGGTCAAAGCTTGAACATGGTGGCTCACGCCTGTAATCCTAGCTACTAAGAGGCTGAGATCTGAGGATCGCAGTTCAAAGTCAGTTCAGTCAGGAAAGTCTCCAATTAACCACCAGAAAACCAAAGGGGAGCTATGGCTCAAAGTGGCAGAGTGCTAACTTTGAGTAAAAGAGCTCAGGGACAGTGCCCAGACCCTGAGTTCAAGTCCCACAACTGACAAAAAAAAAAGCTTGAAGAGTGAATGGCTCATAGGACACACTACTGTTCCAAATGACTTCGGGAGCTGAGGAGTTTGAGGGAGGATGGTCTTGCAGGTGTGATATGGTCCAAGATCCCAGAGAGAAAGAGAGAGCACTGAAATACTGAGAAGAAGCAAGACTTTTAACTGAAAAACCAAACAGTTGTGAGAGTGGAGCCAGGATCTCAGTGTAGAAGAAAGAGGCCTCCGCCATGGTATGGGGGAGTGTGAGTGGATAAATAAGAACTTGTGCTCATTCATAGAGCCGTGCTCAGGATGTCTTTCCCAGGCCATGCCCCTCTCCACAGTGTGACATGAATTCTACTTGGAATGGGCACTGAAGATGGTGAGTAGAAATTAGCAACTGACCTCACCATGCTCAAAAGTCTGTCTAGGGAGCCAGGTGAAGCTGAGATCTCAAGATCACAGTTTCAGGCTTAGCCTAGGCAACAAAGTTCTGGTTGTCTCTTATCTCCAATTATACCAAAAAAGCTGGAGGTGGAGCTATATAGCTCAACTGGTAGAACCGTAACCTTGAGCACAAAAGCTCAGGGACAGTGCTCAGGCCTTGAATTCAAGCCTCAGTACTGGTGCACACTCACACACACACACACACACACACACACACACACACACACACACACCTGTCCAGAGCAACCTTCCATAGATGATGCTACTTTTTCCAAAACCAAAAGAAAACTCCCAGGAAAATTTCCATTCAGAGAATAAATTCTGTTGAAATTATTCAACAGATGGCACCCAACATTTCACCTCTCATAGTGAACAGGGAACTAACTTGTCCTTGGTCTTAGAGCTCTAGAAAACTGTGAATCATACTGATGGACTAGAAACTTGAACTGCACGAATATGGAAAGAGAATCTCTCCTTAGTGTTCAAGTCATAATTCTAACTTTATATCAGCTTGCAGAAATAAGGTATATTTGAGTTGTCCACAAAAACCCGCAACCGAGGATTTGCTGTAAAGTTCCCCTGGGTTAATAGTTCTCTTGGATACCCAGGGAGGCAGCTGCAGCTGCTCTGCACTGAACGAGCCCACCTTCTCCTTTCCATCCACAGGACATAATTACATGAATAACTTCCAAGGATTATAAGCAAAAGCTCACAAATCATGAACCAAAGACAAATACAGCACCATGAACGAGTCAGCAAAAGCCACTTCAGAACAAGTAACTATGCAACAACTCCCCAAAGCAACAAACACAAACATGTTTAAATAAACAGTAGAAGAGATTGAAGAAATAAGCAAAGAAAAAAGGTATACAATTAACCACGTATATTTGAAAGATGAATAAAACTAGATGCCAAAATCTGAACAGTGATTATATGAACCAATAATAATATCATTAGAGAGAGAAATCCAACTGACATATGCACCCAATAGAAGCCAGGCGGTGGATGGCCATAGTGCAAGTTGTCTGTGGTCTATATTGGTGAGAGAAAAGAAGAAAGTAAATGACTTAGATTTTAATTAATAAAGTATGCTTGTTAAAATGCCCAATATATCTGCAATAAGTGAAGGAAAAATGGAAGGAAGAAAGCCACAAGAGATAGAAAAGGAAGGCACTAAGGAGAAAAGAAGAAACTGAAAGGTAACTTGAATGAAAAACAGGTAAAATGGTAGAAACAGAGACAAAACACAAGGAGAAACTTTCTAAGATGGTGACAAAGATTTTAATAATTATATAGGTGTGTGTGTATATGCATATACACACATATATATAATCCAAAAATGTAGCAACAAAAGCAAAAGTGGAAAACTGGGATTGTATCAAATTAAGAAGCTTCTGCACAGTAAAGGAAATGAGAGAGCGAGGGAAGGGGTAACAGAAATGCACTCATTACCTCACTTATGTAACTGTAACCCCTCTGTACATCACCTTCACGTGTGTGTGTGTGTGTGTGTGTGTGTGTGTGTGTGTGTGTGTGTGTGTGTGAAGTAAAGAGACAACCTACATACTCAGGAGGCTGAGACCTGAAAATCTTGGTTCAAAGCCAGCCCAGGCAAGAAAGTCTACGGTACTTTTTTTTTTTGGGTCCGGTTGTGGGGCCTGAACTCTGGGCTTGGGCGCTGTCCCTCAGCTCTTCAGCTCAAGGCTAGCACTCTACCACTTGAGCCACAGTGCCACTTCCGGCTTTTTTTCTTTTTGCTTATATGGTGCTGAGGAATCGAACCCAGGGCTTCAGGCTTGCAAGGCAAGCGCTCTACCACTGAGCCACCTTCCCAGCCCGTCCACGGTACTCTTATCTTTAATTAACCATCAAAAAGCTGGAAATGGAGCTGTGGCTCAAGTGGTAGAGTACTAGCTTTGAGTAAAAAAAGCTCAGAGATAGTGCCCTGGCCCTGAGTTTAAGCCCCAAGACAGATAGAGAGAGAGAGAGAGAGAGAGAGAGAGAGTGCCTATAGATGGGGGAAAATATGCACAAACTGCCCATTTGACAAAGGATTGATATCTAGATGAAAAAATTCACAAAACTCATCATAAAAATCCAATTAAAATGGGCAAATAATCAGAATAGACAAAAGAAATATGTAAGTGGCCAATAAGTGTATGAAAAATTGCTCCAAAGATGCAATTAAAAGACAATGAGATGTCATTTCTGGGTGTCTGGGGACAAGACTCTTATCCAAAACACAAACTAAAAACATGCTGATGAGATTCAAAGTATGGCAGATTCTCAAAAGCACATTGTTGATGGGAATATAACTTAGTATAGCATTATGGAAAAAATACCAAAATTCCTCAAAAACAGAGGTTCACCATACAACTCGGCGATTTCACTAATCATAAACACACCCACAGGACGTGAAATCAGTTTGCAAAAGTGGTACCTCCATTGTGACTATTCACAATGCCTGGGGTCTGGAATCAACTCAGGTGTCTGTTGGTAGATGAGTAGATTAAAAAATGTGTCACAGTGTTATCTTTTACAGCCATAAAATAATGAAATCTGTCACTTCTGGGAATCAAGAACAAAATGAAGTATATTATGTTAAATGAAGTAAGTGGGGCACAGAAAGACAAAGACTTTCCTGTTCTCACTCGTTTATGGAGCTAAAAATATGATTTGTTTCTTAGAAAAAGGGAGCAGAATACTGCTCAGTAAAGATTAGGAAAGGGAGTGAAGAGGAAAGTTAGAGGCTAGATAATGGCGATCAAAGTCCAATTGGACAGGAAGAAAGGTTTCCAGTGATTCAAAGGTCAGCAGGGGCAATTCTAGTCTACAATTTATGATGTATTTTAAAATAATTAGAAGAGTCCACATGCTCCTAATGATGAATGTCTGAACTGATGGAAATGCTAATCAATTTGACCATTGTAGACTGCACATATGTATTGCATTATTGTTCTATACCCCATAAAATATGCAAGTATTATATACCAATTAAAATCTTTTTAAAGATAATAGAGAGATAAACAGACACAGTGGCTCAAGCCTGTGATATAATTGCTTGGAAAGTAGAGATTGAAGGATTGTGGTTTGAGGTCAGCCTGGGAAAAAATAAAATTGAGAGCCCCCCTCTCCCCATTTCAGCCAATGGGTGGGTGGATATAGTGATTCCTGCCTGTCATCCTATCCACAGGGGAAGTACAATGACTGAGCATAGTGGCGCATACCTGTCATCCCCAGTGACTCAAGAAAGCATGAGTACAAGGATCACATCCCAGTCCAGCACAGAGTTGTTTGGGTTTTGTTGTTGCTGGTGGTGGTGGTGGTAGTGATGGTGGAGGTGAGGCGTGTGTGTGTGTGTGTGTGTGTGTGTGTGTGTGTGTGTGTGTGTATTGATACTAGAGTTTAAACTCAGAGCTGTGAAGCCTGGGGACTGTCCTTTAGCTTTTTTGCTCAAAGCACACACCATACCATTTGAGCCACACCTCTATTGCTGGCTTTTTGCTGGTTAATTGGAGATAAAAGTCTCAGACTTGGACTTTGCTGCTCCAACTGACTTCAAACCATGATTCTCAGACCTTAGCCTCCTAATGAACTAGGATTACAGGTGAGAGCCACCAGACTCCAACCCCAGGATTGTTTTAACCTAATAAATGTAAGGGAGATTTCTTATACAACAGCAGATAATGATTACAGAACATCTGGGATTTTATTAGAAACAGACCAGCCCTCTCACGGGAATGGTGCTCTGGGAACAGGAAAATGCACCTAATTAGATGTGTACTTTTAGTCCAATACAGCAGTATTTGCTTCTGAGTAAGGCATCTAAGCACTTAGACTGGGAAATCTAGCCAGAAGAGAGTTGAAATGATGGTCTCTTGTATTCAGTGAAAGTAAAATACTTCTTCAATGAGGCTTTTACCAAAAACAAACAAACAAACAAAAGTAAAATTCAGTATTCATACTGAAAACCATAGAGAACATTATGTTCTTAGCATGCTCTTAAATCAATGAGTGTGGTTTTTCTCCATGAAGGGCACGTGG